GTGGTAGAGATAAAGGAAGTATGTCTGCATCTATTCTTAAAAGAGGATCTGAAAGTGACAAAAATGAAACACATTAGAGGCTATTTCTGCAGCTTTGGAGTCACAGGAGAAACAGGTTTGTTTCATTCCAAATATCTCTGCTCAGTGAAAATCAACACAGTTACAAATTTTCTAGCATTTTAAATTGGGTTGCAGCCCCTAGCCAATCATGGCTGATCTTGACAAAGCTATGCAGGATTGGACCTGGTTACTAATTAGACAGGAGACCACTAAGCAACTTCGGCCTTTAGGCTAGACTGGGAACTCAATGAAACATCCTGGAAGGAAGAAATAGCAAATTCTAGACTATTGTAAAGAAAACTATGTGGATGTGTTTACATAGTCATCAGTGGTTGAGCTCAACTCAATGGAGACTTTACTTTTTTGTGCCGGAAACCAGAACCACTCATACTGGTGCTCTCCAATGTCTTGGAGTTCAAATTTCAATTATCCATAGACAATATTATCATGCTACCTAGATTTTATGGGAGATTAAATCCAATTTTTTGACAGACATCAATATGGGGAAAATTGCCCTGAGAGAGCAGATTCACTGCTTTTCTCTTGACCTTATTTTGTTTAATTGAAGTGAGTGGGGTATTCTCTAAAGCATGTGTGCACAGAGCACAGCTTCTATTATTTTCTGTGACCAACATGACTACCAATAATACAGTCATTTTCACAGCTTTCAGGGATGTAAGTTGAAGAAAAAAACTTACTCTACTTTTAAGTCTTATAAAACTAGTTAAAGGCTTCTTTAGAATAACCTCAGTAGAACACACAGATCTTATTCTAAAACCATAGAATCCTGGAGTTAATCCTGAAGGGACCTTAGAGATCACCTAGTTTAATATCCTGCATAGTGCAGGATCCACAAGAGCATCTCCTACCAGAAGATTATTTTTTATATAGAAAGCTGAGTTAAAATTGGCAAATGCTTTAGGAAAAAAAAATAGTCAAATGCTTAAGTGACTTGATTTCTCTTGAGCAGTTATAAAGGCAAAGGCCTGATTCTTTCTGATATCTGCTTATTTATAACAATCCTGAAATGTAAATATAATTCATTCAAAATTATAGCCCATATATTAATTTTGACATTTAAACTTTGTGCAAGGAGAATGAATCAACTCTGAACGGAAACCAGATGCTACTATAGGCAGGGGTTCTAATACCTTTACCAGTTGCAAAGACCTTCAGCAGATGGTACTATGCCCACTCCGTAGCTCTACTGCTGAAATTTTCTCTTTCACACAACTACTAAGTGCCTGGCCATCTATTGTCTTTGAGCACTGCATCAAGCCATCATGTGGATGGTTTATAAAGTATGTTTTATAAAGCATGACTTATTGCTTAGTATTACATGTGAACCAGGCCATTATGGATAGTTCAACAAATTATGTGAAATTAATCATGGGGTGGTACGATGTATGAGTCTAATCACTCTCCTGAACCCTGGGAAACAGGTGAATCTGGGTGATGGTGGTTGTGCAAGATAAGCCCAACCACTATCACCCTCAAGTGTGAAAAGGAGATTCATTTGTTTTGATTGAATAAAGAAACAATAAACCACCTCCTTTCTTGTGGAAAAGAAACATGACAAATAGCACATTTAAGAAATAAGATGTTGCATATACACAGTTAGCAGTGGCTGAGAACTTCTTCCCTTTGTTAACTAAACAAAACTTAAGAATTTTAAAAAAAATTCTAAATGTTTTTTGTACTGCACCATTCTGTCTTCTATGCATCTGTGTCACATTTGGCAGTGATGGTGATACTTCCATTCCATTTCCTATTTTCTCTTTATTTTCTTTCTCATTTGGATGAGGTAATTCCTTCTCCTGTTCAGGGGGCTTTAAAGGAGCCCTGGCAGAATCATGATTGAGTGACTTCCCTGTAAAAATAAAATACATTGACAGAATATACCTAATTGTACACATGCAGAGCCAGAGTAGTAGGATATTGAGGCTTGCAAGTCCAGTTCAGATGGGTTTTCTGTTCAAATACTTGCCCCTACTCTCATACAGGTAGTCCTCATTTAGCAACTACAGTTGGGACCAGCAACTCTGCTGTTAAGCAAAGTGGTTGTTAAGTGAAACCACAACTGTGCTTATGATCTTACTTCAGCCTTCCTTTGCTTTACAGACCTGTGAAGGTCGTAAATGTGAGGATTGGTCATAAGGTTATTTTCATCATTGTCATAACTGTGAATGGTCACTAAATGAGGACTACCTCTACTTCAAAAAGTTCAATGCCAATGGAAATGATTCCTTTCTCACCCCAGTGCAAGGAAGATTAATTTATCTTGCATTAGAGAATAATGCATTCTTGGTAAGGGATACCTCATTCCTTTAATGGCAACCAAAAAATGTGGCAATACCTGCTGGAAAATGTTTCCTGATAAAAGAAGACACACTAGGGGCATCCTCAAGTAGTGCCATTCCTTCAGATTCAGAATAAGATTGTACTTACTGTTTACCCATTAATATTTGTAGCCCAAGAAGCTCAGGGATCTACTCTGGTTTCCCACTCTTGAGTCCAGCACCTTAAACCACTACACCAAACTGATTCTTATAAGCTACTTACTTAATTACGGTATAATGTTAGGAGAAAAAGAATCAGCTATAATCCAGTTCAGATTAAATTTTATTTACTTTGGCGAAAATAAGTATCTTTAAACAGTCCATCAAAATCAGTGGTGCTTGCAAGGATTTCATTTTATCCAGAGCAGACCCTAATTCTCTTAAAAATATTGAATAACTGATTCAGAAGTTATATGCAGGAAGATGAAGAATCAGCCATAACAATATACAGATTTCAAGATCTATTCTTTCTCTATAATGATCTTTTAAAATTTTCAATTATATTTCATTTCTTTCTGGGTGGGACACTGGGTACAAACAAAAGGCCACTGTCTAGAACAAGATAAGCTGTGTTGAGACAAATATCTGAATTCTCTGTAGCAAATAATAGGAATTCGATTCACCATATAAACTAGCCCAGAAAGTGGTTTTAATTGAATCCACTGTTTTTATTAACTTGCTGGTTTTTAGTGCTGCTATATATTTTTAACAATCTTGCATTATAAAGCAGTTAAAAATTTAAGCCATTTTGGAAAATTAAGAAAAAAAGTAAAGGAAGTGATTTCAATAAGTATTTATAAATAAAATTATAGGGAAAGCATATTTGAGAGTACAAATAGCTATAAGACTCATCCCTTCCTGAAATAAGAGACCAAAGCTGACAATGCTTTAGAAATCCCAGAATTGCATCATGAAAACAGTGTCTGAAATTTCTGCATTATCTGGTGATGGAAGAGGGAAGGGGAGATAAATTAAAATAAAAAATGCAATTTACTCATACCAAATTTTTAATCCTAGTGGCTGGAGAGAAAACAATCAGATAAAATTTGCTGTCTCCGTAATCTGATGACTATAAATTTGTCACCTTGTCATTAACCATGGTTTATTTCTTATTATTGCAATCCTGGGTCACTGACTTAGCAGTAAATCTCACTGGAAAGGCCTGCTTTGTATAGCATCCAGGCAGGCAAACATTAACTCAAGAGCTTTTTCAGTCAAATCTTTCCTGTGTTCTCTCCCTTCCTTTTTTTTACTGTTTCCTCTAAACTTCTGTTTCGGATTTGTGGGTTTTACATGTGGATTTGACTGTCTTTTGCTTGAAACTTTCTTTTAGTAGCACACTAAATTGTTAGTGACATCATTGCGACTTATTCCAGATGCTTATGGAACCCTCAAAGTCCATTCCTACCATAGCATTTCTATCACCAGAGGTTTAAAAATATTGAGATGTTGGTAAAAATGAACAGTAACTAACGATCAGCACGTCCTTGTACCCCATTTCTTAAATAGAAAAGCCCAGCTGAACTGAACTGATTCAATTCAATTCAAACTGAATTTCCCTTGAGAAAATTAAATAGGAACAACAGACATCCAGAAATATTGTGGGAGTGGCTAGTACTTCTTTTGCTAAACTTTCTTTATATGACCTCAGGGAAACATTCCCAAACACTGCAAATGCTGCTATTATATTTCAGGAAATTCATATCCTTTCTTCCATGTTCATGTTCAATCTTCTGTTGAAAAAAATGCAGAAGAAATAAATTTCATGCTACTGAGAAGACGTGGAATCTACTAGAATGGAATGCAGTGGAGAGGTGAGTTTAAAGGACAAAAGGCAAAGTATCAAGGTATATGGATGAGGCAGAAGCAAGGATGATTTGCAAGGGCAGAAACATGTTAGTATAAACTAGGTTTAACTGAATTCCCATTCTTTCATCTGATGTCTTTATTTAGCTTAGTACTTAGTACTTCTTACTCCGTTCCCTGGCTTCTGGAGGCCATTCAGTGTGCTTAGTATCACTGGGATTGCTTGAGGAAACTGCCCATTTGGCTCTTTTAGTTTAGACTGTGTCTGGCTATCAGGAGGGGGTCAGTGCCCTCTAAAGAATGCAAACAACTAGCACCCCTGAAGCTGGTAAAAAGTGAAGCTACAGTGCTCTGGGGAGTGCTACTCTGATAAACCAAAATGGCTATATTGTTTGTCTTTGTTTTTGAATGAAATAAGAGAAAAATCTGGAAACTGCATGGTGTTGCCTTGCCCTCATCAGATCTTCAGTGCCTTCAATTGATTGCCTTGCTGAGCTGTCCATCCAATTGCTCTCCTCTTCCTTCTGAACAACTGCAAGCATGTACAGTCTTTCTAATGTTGGGCATCGGGGGAGGGGTGCTCTGTTTATTTTGCTCCGTTACCCCATTTGGATTATAAAGCTGTGGGTACACTGAGCTGAGCATCAGAAAAAATGACAAGCAACATTTTGACTGGGTGGTTACGAACTATGCTACCCAGCTCAAGAAAAGAGAGAAGGTACTCACAATCTGCAATCACTTGTGCTGCTCTATAGAACTCCAGTTCCTGCAGAAGTTCCAACAATTGCTGGACTGTTGCAAGCCTCACTCCCCACCACCACATCAGTTCTCTTGTTATACTAATTCCTGCTTTTTCCATACATTTGATTTTTCTCAGCTCAGTCTGGTCAGTTATCACATGGGATGCTGGAAGCAAAACAAGACAATTTTGATTAACAGGTCACTTTCCTTTCACATACTGTATATTTATAATCTGGTTGAACTTGTTAAATGTGAAAGACATGAAAACTCCCACAGTTTTACCTCAGAGTCCAAGACATAGCTTTATATCATTGAGCTGAGGGTGGAGAACCGACTTCCTCTAGATGTTTCTGAACTACAAATCTCAACTAAAACCAGGATGGCCAATCATGAGGAAAGCTCGGACTTGTAGTTTAGCAACATCTGACATGTAATAAGTTCCCCACCATGATCAAAGGGAATAGTTTTGACTGTGATAATTTTTTACTTTCTCAGGCCCTGAAATCAGTTTTGGATTCAGTGATGCTCCTTAGATTGGAGAGAGAAGTTTCATATAGCATAACTTAGGTATCTGAATTTATTTTATTTTTAGCTTATTCAATTATGGACATTCTCTGGAGGATGACACAGGTCTGCACATTAACAATTCAGAAGGTTCAACATAAATCAGAATAATAATGCTTAAAGCCATCCACAGAATAGTGGTCAACTAATCCTGTGGGTGTCCAGAAAAACATGCAACTCTTTAGATTTTGTTGGACTTGAACATCCATCTTCCTTCAACTCTGGTAACGCTGGCTAAAATTGGTGGGAACTGGAGGACATCATCATCTGGAAGGCCATATGTTATCCAATTCCAGCTGTATAATGCAACAGAAGGGTTAGAGAGACCTAACTATGTAGATCTCACCACAGTTCCTCATCTTTTTAGCACATGACTGGCAACTGCAAGGAAACAGGGTTTGGCCAAAGTTCTCTGCAATTATTGCCCATACAATACCCTACCTGCTGCTCTGTGAAGATGGAGGAGATTGGCAATCTATAAATTGCTGATACAATAGAATTTGGAAGACAGAAAAGCTGTTTGAGGGAGGGGCCTCAAATGCAGCATTGTATTCATTTTTTATTACCTGCATTTTGTGATCACAGTCAGCTATGCAAGAAGTTGGTAAGTGTTGCTAAATGTTTCCTAATTTTGTAAGCTATCATTTATGAACATTAGTCATTTGTGGAACATCAAGTGGCCAACTACCTACACACACTTCTTGCCCCTCCAGGGGGCACTGAAAGAAAATAGGTAAATTATTCCTACTATTCAAATAATTTTCAAGTTTTGCTGTTCATCTGGAGGCAACTCTTGCCATAGATGACCAAGAAAGTAGTTGCTTACAAATTGGGATTCAACATGCATCAGTGCAATGGGGAACATCTAGGGGACCACAGAGGTGTCCCCCCTGCCATGCCTGCACTGTGCAATATCATGCACAGAACAGCTGCACACTTCCTCATTTATCTGAACTGCTGTACTGATGGGAAATCACTGCATAGCAGACTATTAATCCCATTTTATTCAGGAATGCAATCCAGCAACTCATAAACCATGACTCACAGTTGTTGTGAATGAACTAAAAAGCCAGGGATAAGATTGAATTTCTTATGTCTGACATAACTCTTGAAATACTCCCATTGATGAAAAATCATGTGGCAAAATTGAAAAAATAGTACACACCCAAAGATTCCCAGAGGACCCTTGCAGTCAGAACATACTTGAAGAGGTGCAGAGATCACTCTTTCATTAAGCTCTTTTTTATTTCAAGAGATGGAAGAAGGGGTACAACTCTATCAAGCCTTTTATCAGTAGGGTTAAGCAATAAGGACATGATCACAATAGGTGAATACTTTTCTAAGGAAATGCATTTTGTCAAAACGACTGAAGTCTCTTAAAGGAATCATAAATCATATTACTGTAAGGGGCTTTCACTCATGGATCAGATTAACTCTCACCATCATTCCATCATCTTCATAAAAAAAAGAGAGAGAACTCTTTTATAACAAAACAAAACAGAAGTGTCTTCCTCTGGGGGAGATGGGCAGCATATCCATTTAATAAATAAATAAGTAAGGAATACTGCTCCAAAATGATTTTGATCTTTCATACAGATGCAGCGACTTCTTGAGAAAGGCTCAGGAACGTTTATTTCAGTAGACTTCTAAGTCTTTTTAGAGGTTCCATCACTGTTGTAATAAGCCAGGCTAGATTCCTTCCAGCATGGGATCACACTACCAGAATTTGCAAGACCTAATATTTTAGTTAATTAGAGCAATTATATGTAGTGGGTGTATAATCGGTAATATACTTTTGTGAGTTTTTAAAGCGCGCGTGAGCGTGCGTTAAAGCTGTATTCCCCTTCGTTCTGCAGAGCTGCTGAAGGGCCCTTCGGAGCATACCTAAGAGCAGCGCCTTTCATTCTCCCGGGCGCGGTGGGC